GTAGGGAAATGCAGTGTCAAAAACATGCCCTATATACAACGGATTCCCAAGTCGTTCTCATATAAGCTGGAGCTGGATTCCTCAACAGAGCCCACCCAATTTCCCAAGATCGTCTCTGAGTGAGCCGTCAGCCTCTTCTAAGCTGCTGCAGAATTAAGCTTGCAGGAGGCTGAGAAGAGGGGAGGCCGTTAATTCTCTTGGGGCTCTGGGGAGAGGGAGAGCCAACAGAAGTGGCAAGAAAGCATGTTTTGCTTGGCTTTTATTACCTGAGACAATTGAAGCGAGTCTGAATATATCAGAGAGACGAGAGGTGACTGGCTCGTAGGGGGAAGCTTCATAAAACTCTTCTCCTGGGAGGGAGGGAAGGAAGAGAGAGAGAGACAGAGATTGAAACAGCAACTGTGGCAAAGCAATTCACACAGACAGATCCTAAGCACTTGTGCTGGGGATACCTACCTATGTTACCACCACCACCACCCCCGTGGAAGATAGGAGATGAGACATCTGGCCAACAAGTTCTTGGGGCTGAGCTCCCAAAGGAGTCTAGATCTTGGGTTTGTGAAAAATCATGAACTGTTTGCTTACTTCTTGATCTGCGAAATGGGACTACTACTAATGGTCTGTCTCACAGGAATGTTGTGGGAATGAAGAATGAAGACTAGAAGTATTTAACACAATAGCAATGATAATGAACCTCCAGGTTAACGTAAGAACATAAGAGAAGCCAATGTTGGATCAGGCCAATGGCCCATCCAGTCCAACACTCTGTCACACAGTGGCCAAAATTACCAGGTGCCATCAGGAGAGCCAGGACACTAGAAGCCTTCCCACTATTGACCCCCCCCCCAAGCACCAAGAATATTCATCACTTGCCCCGGAGTCCCTATCTATACCTTGTGACTAATAGCCACTGATGGACCTCTGCTCCATATCTATATATCTAATAGCCAAGTTGCCCCCTCCGTGCGGATACTTAAATCAGCACGGAGGGGTCAGCTGGGGGGCCGGGGGAGGTTTGTGCATATGTGGGCCAGTCCCCACGTGTGCACAAAAATACAAAAAGTTTAAAAAAATTTCGGGGGGATGTTTAAATCCCCCCGAAAGTGCAAGAGCGTCTCCTGCGCATGCGCAGGAGACGCTCTGCAACGCCGCCGACGCTGCCGCCGCCTCGGACC